AAGTGCATTATAGAAATAATTTTGGAGTGTTCTTTCGTTTTCTATTTCATGGAAAAACTTGTGAAATATGGGTGTTAGTTTTTCTTTAAAGGTTTGGTAGAATTCTGCACTGTATCCTGGTCCCAGGGCTCTATTCCGTTGGGAGATCTTAAATCACTGCATCTATCTCACTGGTTGTTATGTGTCTGCTTAAATAATTTATATCATTTTGATTTAATTTTAGGCTACGCACACCTAGAAGTGTTTCTGCTGTAGATGTTCTGGTTTAGTGGAATGCATGGGGTTTTTCTCCCTTTTATCTATTGATCTTTTAAAATTTTGTACATTTCCCACTCAAATCCAGGCCCTCACCCATCCATGCCTCCCCCACCTCTCCACCAAACCCTATGCACTCTGCCATACATGCTGAGTCTTATTCATTCAGGTGTTTGTACCAAACATCATTCAGTGTAAATGCGTCCACTGGAGTCTAGGAAGCCCATCCTGTCTCAAGTCTGAGTTTGTTCATTTGGGTTCTCTCTCTCTCTCTCTCTCTCTGTCTCTCTCTCTCTCTCTTTGTGTTTCCTTTGGTTAATTTGGCTAAAGGTTTGTTGATCTTAACCTCTTCAAAGAACTCACTCTTCACTTCCTTGATTCTTTGTATTGTTTACATCATCTCTAGTTTCTATTTTATTAATTTCAGCCTTGATTTCATTTATTCCTTCCCATCTACTCTTTTTAGGTGCTGTTTCTTCTTGGTTTTACAAGGTCTTCCGGTGTATACTTTATTTATATGAGATGTTTTTAATTCCCTGGTGTGTGCTCCTAAAGCTATCAATTTTGGTTTTGATATGCTGTGTTTTCATTTTCACTCAATTCTAAGAATTTTTAAATTTCTTTCTTGGTTTCTCTCATGACCCATTTTTCATTTATATTGTGTTGTATAGTTTACATGAATCTGTGTACTTTTCTACATTTTTACTGTTGTTGATATCCTCCTTTTGTCCTTTGTGGTTGGGTAGAACTGAAAATTCAGCTGTTATTCTGGTGAGTGTATCTGTTTATGTAACTTGATTTTTCATGCTCGTAGCTTCCAGTACTTTTTCTTTATTATGTAATTTTAGCTTTAACTATTATATGATAGTTAAAAGTTTCTTTAAACATTTTTACCTGACTTTCTTTTCCATTCCTGTCTATTTGGTATACTTTAGCCTCTTGTACCTTGATAGGTATATTTTTTTAGATTTTGAAATTTTTCTCCTATGGCTTTATTAAAAATATTTTTGTGCCCCTGTGTTAGTCGCTTTTCTGTTGCTGTGATTAAAAACACTGACCAAAACTACTTATAAAAGGAAGAGTTTATTTGAGATTACAGTTCCAGGGGAATTACAGTCTGTCTTAGAGGGGAGACATTGTGGCAGAGGTGGCTGGAGGAGGAGGAGCAGAAGCTAACCTCTACATCTTCCTGCAGGCACAGGAAGCAAGAGTGTGACTGGAGAGCCAGCAAGCCTTAAGAACTCTCTAAGCGCACCCCTCAATGACATGCTTCCTCCAGGAGAGCCACACCTTCTAAGAACTCCCAAAAGTGCGTGACCCTCTGGGGAAAAAATGTTCAAATATTTGGAGCCTATAGGGGACATTTTCATTCAACCTACCTCCATAGACATCTTCTATGCCTATGATTTGTAGGTTTGGTCTTTTACAGTGTCCCAGACATTTTCTTTGATCATGTGATCCATTTCCCCAAGCTTGTCTTCACGATCTCATAGTCTCTGTTCCATTTCCTCCACTTTCTTTTTACTTCTTTCCTTTAAGATTTTTGTTTGCATTCCTGAGTTTGTCATTTCAAGTTTTATTTCAGTCTGGCTTTTCTTCAGAGATTCTGTCTCTTCATTGAACTCTAATTCCATGTTTTGAACTGTTTTAGTTATTTCATTTCACTATCTGTGCTTTCCTGGTCTTCATTCAGTCTTTTATTCATACACTGAGTTCCTTGAATATATTTATAATTGCTATTTTGAAACCATTGTATTGTGCATCCACTCCATTTTCAATTTGGGGAAACATTACAACGGACTTGCTAACTTCTCTAGTGGCATATTACCTTGGTTATTCATGTTGTTTGTGTATTTCTGATGAGAACTAAGCATCTGGACTTGTGTTACGGTGTTTCCTAGTATGGGCAAGTGACCTCATCTTTTTCAAATGTTTGATTGTATCTTTGCTGTTTCCCCAATTTTTTGGGTTATGACCTGGCTGAGTAGTGCATTTCAGTTTGGAGGCCACTTTATGCTGACATGCAAATGGAGTGAAAGAATTGGTCTCATTTCAGCCAGAGTTAGCTGCAGCTTTTGAGATTCCAAGATTGACTCCACAAGGTCCTGAATTAGTGGGGTGGGCTGCAGGCTGCTAGGTGAATAGGTATGCTGATAGGTTGGGCTTGGGGTGCTCACAAGTCTGGAGTACACAGAGCTCTGATGGCCTGGTATAGGGAATTCTCAGGAATCTGAACTCAGGACCAGGGATCTGGGGCAGGGAAGGATCCCAGAGACCGAAGCTGTCCTGAGTGCTGAGATGGCGGCAGGAACTCCCCCTGCCATATCTGTGCCAGAGCACAGACCTGGGGAAGAGGAGTGTCCCTGAAACCAAGGAAGAAAGAGCTGAGATGGTGGGGAACCTGGACGTCACAGGAACAGGAGCTCAGGACCTCAGTTCTGGGACTGTGATGGATCCTCAAGACCCAAGCTAGTTATTTGCTTGTGAAAGACATCTTGGTCTTTTCCCTATCTTTGTGTTTTAGAGAACTATGTAAAATGTTGAAGTTTTTCAGTTCATTATTCTCCTAAAAGACCTGGAGTGGATCAAAATATTGGCATCCTGCCTCTTTCCGAAGGATTTTCAGATAACCTAAAGTGAAATCCAGGATGAGAGACTGCACACATCCTTGGGTGATGGTACAGAAGAGCACACAGGAGGAGGGAGCACTTCTTAGAAAGAGCATCTTCCAGCCAGGCTGCCTCGCAACCCAGTGCACAGTGAGCACAGGGAAGGATCAACCCTCATGGCCTCATCCTGACGGCTGTCCAGTTCCTGTGCCTCTTGAGCTGCTTCATGAAGGGAAGAGTTGGTGAGCAGTTAGACTGAATTCTCTGCAACACGAATCAAGTAAAAGCAGAGCCGAAGCTGTGGAGACTGAAGCTGAGTCGTAAAGACAAGATCGTGTGTCACGAATGTTTGTGAGAGGAACACAAAATCCATTGCGATTTTACAAAGCTAATATCATGAGACATTTTAGTGAAGACTGATCTTAAATCAAGCTTTCCCTTGAAGGATGTGCTTCGAGAGTGCCTATACTATACCATCTGGGGAAGAACAGGTTTCCTGACTGAGCTCTCATCTTGCAGATCTCAACATGGCTTCCAACACTGACACCCACCCTATCCTCACTCTGAGTAGTTCACAGTATTTTAGATGTCTAGGAATTTGATCTGGGATTTATCACTGTTCTCCTGAAAGCTGGGTAAACACTGCTTAGAGAAAACATGTAACTCCTCTGTCTACAGGTGTGCTCCCCTGCAGCCCCCCTGTGAGCCTGGGTTTGTGCTCAGCTCCCCCTGCAGTTTCCCGCACTGTGTCACTCACAGCGCAGTAGTACAGGGCCCAGTCTGACGGCTGCAGTGAGGACTTGTGCAGGTGGAAGGAGCGGCTGCTCTTCACAAGCGTGGCCTGAAACCCTCGGTTCTCCGTCCTCTGGTTTCCAGTTGCCGTCTTCAGAAGCAGCTGAGGGGCTCTGTTGAGATCTTGGATGTACCAGAAAACCGCAGGAGTTGAATAAGTGGTCTGGTAGGTGCAGTTCAGCATTACAGATGCCCTCTCTGTGACAGTAACTGGACCTTCTGTCTGGGTCACAGAATCTCCATTGCTCTTCTCTAGAAAAAATAAAATTGCTTTGTTAAAAGGTTTAAAAGCTGAAGGTTGTTATAACTTTAAAAATGAATTGTCGTTAGTCCTTAGGATAAAACGTGACACTGAAGAGTACGAGGATCACAAGCCCCAAGTGGGTAACAGAAAACATGTTGCTAGAAGGAACTGATCCTTGCTTCTTTCAATATAACAAACATTGCAGGGCTAAGCTCCAGAAAGACTGTGTAGTAAGCAGTCACTCATAGGCAAGAATGTTTTGTATGACAAGCATCTTTCCTGTGACTACAAAGACAATAGGCGTGTTCAACAGAGATCATAATGCAAATGAAGCCACATCTAGAATGCTCTGATCTCTGCTGGTTTCCATGCATGATCTACCAAAGGTTTGTTTAATGCTGTTTTTAATTCTACAGCAAATGTTGTTATGAAGAAATCATGACCAAGACCTCCAATGCATGACTATTTCCTATGCTATGCAACGAATAATTCTGTAATAGTCCACAGTGTATACTGTTATTAAAAGATAAGAGCCTTTTCAACAAGATGAGTACGATACTCTCTACCAGTGACACTAAGATGGTGTCTGTGGAGGACAGATTTGAATGATATCTAGATGTTGACTCTTGAGACCTGTTATCTAACTAAGAAGTCACTCTCATCATGAATCATTAAAAATGTTCTATCACTCATTATATCTTATTTTGATTAATATCTTATTTGTTATTTTATTTTCTGTGTACCAGTGTATTGCCTACGTATGTGTAAGCGCACCCATGTCGTGCAATGCCCACAATGGTCAGAATAGTGTGTTGGGTCTCCTGGAACTGGAGTTACGATGGTTGTTCCCTACCATGTGGGTGCTGGGAATTGAACATGGGTCCTTGCAAAGGCAGCCAGTGCTCTTAACCACTGAACCATCTCCCCAGCCCCCTCACTGTATTTTTTGGAAACAGAATTTTAGGATGTTTTAGATGGTTCAACTATTAAGGATCCAATACAGAAAAATCATGGTTTCAAGGGTAGAAAAAAAAGTCTGTAGTCCTGGTCTCAGGTTTGGGTACAGACAGCAGGTACCTGGGGCACACCATGCTTCTGCTGCACAGAAGTATTAGGCTGAGTCCTCAGTGTGGGCAGCTGTGATGTGCAGGGAGAGCTGTCTGTGGAGGTGCATTTGATGATGGAGCTGTCTCCCTCCCTCAGGAAAGGGAGGACTCAGGAAAGAAGGACTCTGCTCCAGCTGCTCTCCTCTGCTCACACTTGTATGAAAGGAAACATCAGGAAGAGCATCAGGTATCATTCTCCAGACTTTGCTTTTTTCTTACAGTAGTTCTGGCAATCTGGAGAAGGTCAGTCTGCTCTTCAGACTTAATAGTAAACACCACTAACAAACTTGTTTCCCAAAAGCTCTCAGCTCACAGTCCAGCTTTAGCCACATGCACAGGACCAAAGGTCCCATCACCTTCTCCATTGTCCCCCTTGGGACTGTGGCCTCCAGCCAGGCAAGGTGTGTGTTATCAGGTTACCTCCTCTTTCCTCCCCAGCATAGCTGGTTCCTAAACTATCTGCACAGAGCACTGCTTCTGTGTGCAGCCTGCTCCTAGAGAAGTCAACCAGAAGTCCCTTCTAAGTTCTGCAGCTGCGGAGATGCTCTGCCATCTTGTGGCCAGATCCTGCTCAACCACCTGCTCAAACTCTTACCTTCACATGCACGTGCTTCAATTCCTTTATTCAATATTTGTCCTTAGACTATAGAATCCAGAGTTTAGAACTGGTTGGCGCACACAGCTCCACATTTTTACTATAACATTAGAGTAAGTATTTCTGGGACATTCCTGACAGCTGTGTCCATCGTGCAGGGTAGTTAGTGCTAAGCAGGATTAGAAAGCATTGAGACCTGCCCTCCAGTAACAGGTTTCTGTGATCCACCTGCCTCCCTCACATCCCATCATACTCAGGAGACAATGCCTGGCTTAGACATTAGCTGCCACCACTGAACACCCTAAGTGGGGTGTTTCTGGAGCCAGTGAGAACCTGCCATGGAAAAAGGCTGCAAAACTAACAGTGATCAGAAACAGGTTCTGGTATATAAGGAAGGGAAGTCCCTAAAGTGACTGCAGCATTTTTGAGTAACTAATCACAAAAACAACAGGCATGTCCTGGTGCACAACACTTGGTTCCTTCAGTACCCACTCACCTTTAGAAGGTAGCTTTGTTCACAGTTGAGCTATCAACATCTCTCTCATCTCTAGGCAGACAATCCAAACTAAAAAATCCAGGAATAGAATTTCAGAATTAAAATATACCATAGATCAAGGGGCCTTAGCAGTCAGTTATAGAACAGTCCACCAGGAGCTGTCGAGTGACATTCTTCTCAGCAACATTTGAAACTGTCTCTAAGATTGATCACATTATTCACCATAATCCAAGCTTTTTCAAATACAAGAAATTTAAAGGATGTCTCATATCTTATCTGATTACGGTAGAATAAACTTAGAAATCAATAGAAGAGAAACTACAGACATCATCTAATTACATTGAGACAGAAATAAATTGCTAGTGATGCATTTGAAGTACAAACACGTAAGAAATTTAAAATACTTAGTATCTGGGGCTGGGCAGGGCACTGTCTGCTCTTGCAGAGTACTGGGGTTCAAATCCTGCTACCCACAGAGCAGCTAGCAACCATCCTGCCACTATCAACCTTCTATAACTGCAGTTCTAGGGACTCCAGCACCCTCTTCTGTCCTCCCTGGGCATTGCATGACATGGGTGCACTTACATACATGCTAATTCTGAATGTTTTCTACAGATTTTTAATTTTTATATGCGCAAACAAGTGTGTACATGTTTGTGTGTGTGTGTGTGTGTGTGTGTGTGTGTGTGTGTTGGGGGGTATAGGCTATGAAACAAGGAAGGGGCCATGAGAGAGAAAGAAGTTCTTAGGGAAGAGTTGGGAAAAGAAAAAGAGGAAAAAGAAAGAGTAACAGAGCATTGGTGACAAGAATCAGAAGGCCCAGGGGGAGTAAAGGGACCAGCAGGAGGCAGGCTGGGCTGAGGGAAGACGATCAGCCGAAAGGGATGAAAACCTCATAACGAAACCCATTACTTCGTATACTATTTTAAAGAAACTAATGAAAGTGTCTAAGAAATAAATAAGATTCTTAAAAACTTTCTTTTTCCACATAGGAAATATGATAGTCTGATTGTCATGGAAAGAAACTGAAAGATTTAGAGGAAGTTTTGACTGGTGGTTATATATGAGTAAAGAAACACAGAAATACAGAGTTACGCCACATGGGTATTTGATGGGACAGCTCTGCTCAATGGACAGGGCAAAGGCAAGGGATGCACACTCACAGGACAGAGAGGGAGCTAAAATTGCTCTGCCTGCTTTGGAAATAAGCTTGCCCACTGGCCCCTTATTTGTCAGCGCACAGGACTGCAGACAAGACTTGCTAAGACTTTCAGCACTGTTAACAGGTTAGTTTGTGATTTTTTTTTTTTTTAATCAGTTGAGCCCTGGGCAATTTTTGTAAGGCTTGACACCTTTGTCTGTGTTGTTAGGGATTATTTGCACTAATAATGTCATTGTCACTGAGATGTCCAGCTGTCCTATTCTGGGGTTCTGCTTTTCCACAGTGAAAACCCCACTGCTTAGAAGCTGTCTCAGGGCTATACCCTGGCTGACGGCATGGTCTTCAGAATCAGGGAAAGTGATGTCTCCGTCTAGAACATTAGAAATAAAAAATTAAAAGCAGTCTTACGGAGGTTTTGATGTTTGAATTGGGAAGATTCTGAACTATGTTCTATGGTGCCTGACATGTATTAATAACAACAAAACATATGTCAACTTTACTTTTTCTTAGTAAAACTTATCTTTCCTTCAATGTCCACATCTGTGGCTCATGTCTGCTTTATTTTCTCTCCATGTGGATTTGATAATAGAAGCTTCTAGAAAACTTAACCATCCATTCTTTAGAGCTACTCATTGTTTTTCATACCCCTGAACTGTAGCAGGGCAGTCAGGGTCTTGAAAAGAACACAGACACGATTAAAAATAAATATCGTGTTCACAAGACACCTTGAAAGTTTGCTTCATTTTCCCCTAATCAGTTAAAAAATGCATTTCCTTGTTATTTGCTGTTGTTTCTAATGAGACGTCAAGCATTTGTTTCTCAGAGCAGAGGATGTGAATTTGTTATGATAACAAGGTTTTGTTGTTGTTTTAATTTCAATGAGTTCTCTAGTTACATATCTGCCTTCTTCCTGCCTGGAGTTCTATCAAAACAAGAGTGGTGGATGATGGAATTCTTTGCTCTGAATTGTCTTTGCTGATTTTTAGTTTGGGGGCCTAGATAAAAGTCAAAATGATAAAGTGATTTAGACATTATTGTATAGGAGCATATGTGAGGCATTTCACATCTTTCTAAAATCAGTTTATATATATATATATATACATATATATATATACATATATTTTTTTTTTAGGGGTATCTGTGAGTTCAAGGCCAGCCTGGTCTACGTAGTTTCATGTCAGCTGGGGCTACAGGGAGATCCTGTCTCAAAAAGACCAAAAAATATATTTTATGTGTATAAGTATATTGCCTGCATGTATGTAAGTGCACTTGTGTCATGCAATGCCCATGGAAGTCAAAGGGGG